TGCTAGCAGACTAAAATCTTCAAGGGAAATTTTCCTTTCCTGAGTGTCTGGAACATACTACAAACACACTGGTGCTACCAAAAATATCAAGTGATTTGTGGCTAATTTATTCTAAAGCCTTATGCAACATATTTCATATCAGTCTGCTTATTCATCTTAAACTTGAAATAAAGAAATCTGATCTCTCCTGGTTTTACTAGAAGTATTCTGGCTCAGAAGAATTTCATTTGCAAGAGGTCTTCTGGAATAAAGAGCACAGAAGTTAAGCTCCCGAGGAAAGAAGATCGAGGAAAATAATTTGTGGTATTTGAGAGAAAGTCTATAAACTCATTTCCTCCCTATTTTAGTCCCATTTTTGAGATTTTTTTAAAGGCAGTGTTTTTTTCATTAATCCTGGAATCTGGGCAAGATTCTTTATCAACTTCACCAAGTGCACAATGTGTACCTGAATTCAGTATGAACTTCAAACTAAAATCAAAGTTGGTCTTTCCTATTTCAGACAGAATACACTGTAGTTTAAATCACTCAATGGAATGGACAAGGGCAGTCTATTGTACCCACCACTCCCCCAAAAACTGCTTTTCAAGATTCCAGAAGGGCTAATTCTTTCATTCCCTACAAGGACACCTGCTTTGTCATATCTTTCTGAAGAACCATCACCAAAAAAAAAAAAAAAAAATGATATGGTGCCCCTTCTTACCTCCTCATACTCAGGTCAGAGTAGGGCAATATTCCCCTACTGGGGTTTGTTTTGGCTTCTCCTTTGGAAGGTGAGTTGAGCCTTACTGAGTAATGCCCTCAGTTTAGGTTTTCAGCCAGTCAGCCCAGTAGAGGGGTGGCTCTGGAGAGCTCCCATCCCAAGGAGCTCTGCCCAGCTCAGACACCAGAGCCCCGAGCAGCAGGAGCAAGGTCCTGGTTCTGTTTCCACCCAGGCTGATGAAGTTCAAGGCATGATGCCTGTGACCCCGGAGGGCAGGAGGAGTAATGGGATTTCTTCCTCTGGGCCAGCTTTAGAGTGAGAAATTGAAACATGCCCATACAGAGGCTCAATTTATACATCCATTTTTGAGCTTACCATGCTCTAGTATTGTAATGCATCTTGAGACTCTACATAACTCTACTCACTGAAAACACAGTTACTCACCTATTATGACTGTACATCTCGTTCACTCCATCAAGTTTATTTATGAATCAAATGCGAAAACCCAAATTTCTCATATTTAGAACTAAATAAGCATGATGATGATCTGAAAAAAGCTTGGGAAGTTGGATTTTTCTTCAATTACTAAGGGCTGCCTCAAATTGTAGCCAATGTGGTAATGAAAAGGTGTATTGCTATTAAAAAATTAGCACTCCATCCAACACATGCACTCACGGCACACTAAAATTGCCTGTAGCAGGAGAAGTGAGAAGGAAGAGCTGCTAATTTTACTGACCTTTGATTAAACTACTGGAGAGCCCAATGTATTTTAGCAACTCGTCTAAAATTGCAGAGGAGGAAAACTACCACAACTGCCATTGGCCAATCCACCTGTCTCTAGACAGATGCAAAATTCTTCCAATTATTTAGCATTGTGGACAGCATCAGAGTACTGCTTCTTAAAACTCAAAGGACATTAACAGCCCCAGAAAAGCAGTGACTAAGCACTCCAAAACACAGCAGTTTAAGCCCTTCTCACCTCATTAATTTTGACTAAAATTTTCCATGTGCAACAGGCAAGTGTCATTTCATTATTTTAGAAAATAAATACTCCAGGGCTAAATTTGACAGGAATATTCACAAAGCTTCTATCAGTTACCTAGGTACCTGTTTCAGTTTATAGCTTAGCAGCTCCTCCACTTTGTTAAAGCCCAAACAATTGCATTTAACAATTAGTTAATGCAAGTTCACTTTCAAGAGAGGCCTAGTGCTCCTCAGACAAGCCAGCCCCCCACACTCTTGATAAGCAGGGTTCCATTATATTATGTATCTGATGTTAACTTCTTATTGCTCCGGGGTTTTAAACAAAGCTCGAGCCAGAGATTAAACTGACAGGAGACTCGGGAGCTCCCCTCTTGTAGTCTCTGTTTGGTCTTACTTCACACTGTGGCTGTCAAACACAAAACCATAGTAAGAAGTCATCTGGAATGAAGGCTTGCTGTTTGCAATGGAGTTTCTGTTACTGGAAGTGGAGAGGAATGTTTAGGAAGGTTTTTTGCAGTAGCCAATTTCTTCTAGCCCAGAGAGTATTGAGCACAGGGCTGCCTGTACTCTCCATTCTATTACAAAAACCTAATCCCATCGCATGACCTGCAGCAATTCAGTTTAACAAATCAACAATTACAAATATTTTGGCAAAGTAAGCTTAGGTATTGTTTGCCTCTAGGCACAGTTCACAACCAGTTTATGGCTTTATGATAAAAGTCATTAAATCCAATCTGAAAAGCAGAATTTACAGCTCACTTAGCAAGTCAGGCCCATAAATGGATGCTTTCAATTACAGGGCATTTACATGCACAACCATTAAGGCAGCAGTGAATACATTTGAAAACTCTGGAATACTTTTTATAATAATTAAAACTTTGCGTACTGTTCTTTATACAAACAAAACTTAGGAATTTGCTTCAGTCTCAAGCAGAGCTCAGATTCATTGTTACCCAGAAAATACTACAAAGCCTGTTCTCCCAGTACTTTGGTGGGAAAGGGATTAGAGACATGGAAACAAGGTTTTTTAAAGTTGCCCTCAGTAGCAGGGAGGGTTTTTTGAGCTCCAATAAACTCAATTATATCAACTGGTGCTCAAGACTTCTGAAAGATCAAGTGGAACAGGAAGACGGAGGAGAACCCAGGGAGAGCCTTTCATTTGGAGATTTGCTGTGCAATTGCAGTGTATTTGATTTTGTTGGTGAATCTAGCTGCTGGGTGGAAGGAAACAAGAGAACAGTCCAGAGACCAATTCTTTTAACATCATTTTTTTCAATTGTCCTGCTTTTTACTGTTAAACAGAACCTCGGGAAAGCTGATGAATTCTTCTCCAAGGTTCTATCACGCACATCCAGCCTCCTCAATAAAGAAAACTGGATCTTCAAACACTTACACTCATTCTGGGGACTGCCGGTGTATCTGACCCACGCAGCTGCAGAACAACAGTCAGCTGCCAGGTTACTCTTTTCAACACCCCAATATGCTGTTCAACACAAGCTCAGACGCATCTCTAAGTGGAAACCACCTTAAACAAGACCCTCCTCTTCCACTTTGTAAAGGCATTTGTAACTAACGTTATCTTTCATCATGATGGTGCTAAGCAAAGGGGGGGAAGGGACTTCACAAACACCTCCTTTACTCACACCCTCATCCCTCTCGAATTCACCGGAGCTTGTAAACGTTAGAAGTTTGAAAGCTGTGCCTCAGAAGGAGCACACAAACAACCCACTCACGCACCAACACCTCGACAAAGCATGAGAAAATCTAAACAAGCAACCTCGCTCTGCTGGCCTCTCACCTCAACCAGAGGGTGTTTCTTTTCCAGCCTGGAGAACAGAGCAACGACTAATCAGTCCCTCACTACAGAGTCCAGCCTCCACAGAAATAATGTCATGAATCAGTCTGAAAGTACAGATCTCCAGGCTAAGACAGAACACTTGAGAAAAGACAAACCTGCTGTTACCTGCGGTCTCCTAACAAGCTGTTATTATAAACCTCTCGCTACCAATGGAATCAAACTCGTTTATACCCATGGACTGTGACAGCAAGAGCTCCACACACAACATACACGGGCTACAGTTTTTTGGAGACCCTCGTTTTGGTAAACCCAGTGAACAAACTTTTTCCTAATGCTATCCCGCTCGCAAGCATTTGAAAAGAGCACAACGCATGTGTTGGGTTTTTCTCAGTCAGAAACTGTGAGGGACAACCAAAGAGAGGCAAGACCAGCCTGCAGCCCGAATCCCAGCTGTTCAACAGCTCTCCACAATCATCACAAGAGCTCTTCACTCATTCACACGCTTTTTTCCATTCTTTTATTTCCCCAGAGTGAAGACTAAAAGACCACACTGTATTGCACTTCTCTTCCCCTTCACTCTCCACAAAAAGAAAAAAAATAAACCCAACCCTACAAACAGGAACTCCACAACTCTCCACAACCACTTGCCCTTATCACGACACAGCTTCCCCCGTGCACTTATCGAGACAGATGAGACACTTACCAGGTTGTGTTTGTTTACAAACACCACCAAGGGATGGAGCTTCTCTGGGCAACCTGTGTCAGTGCCCTCACTACCCTCTCAGGGAGGAATTTCTCCCAGTATCCCACCGACCCCTGCCCTCTCACAACACACAGGTTGCTGCAGCATCAAAGACATGAATAAAACCAGTAATCTCAAGTCTTGTCTCACGCGCACTGTGTGTATTTTACACCCGCGGCCCTGCAGAAAAGGAGAGGGGACAGACAAAAGGGTGAGGCGAAGCCTCCGCAATCCCAAACACAAACTCCTAGCTCCAAACACAGCTCCTCACCCCACACCGCTCCTGACTTTCTCCTCCAAAACTCCACAGAGTTTCGCACACCTAACCCTGACTGCACGTCCAGGAGGCACATGGGGGTGTCCTGTGCAGCGCTAAGAGCTGGACGCGATGATCCGCGCAGGGCCCTTCCAGATCGGGATATTCTGCGGACCCCTGCAAGGAAAATACACCGGGCAGGGAGGAAGCGAGGGAGGGAGGAAGGGAGGGAGCGGGGGAGAGAAGGAGCAGCACAACTTCTTTATTCCCCCCTCCCCTCACCCACACATACACCCGGGCGGCACAGCGCGGCCCTCCCACCACCGCCCGGGGGTAACGCCGGCGGGAGCAGGATAACCCAGCGCGGGTCCCACCACAACAAAAAGGGCGAGGGCGTAGGGAGGCGCCCCCAGCCCCGCCGGGACCAGGCCCGGACGGTTCCTCACGGCCCGCGCAGGGCCAGCGGGGCGACCCTGCCCATCAGGCAGCGACCCGGGGGTTGGCACCCGCTAGCACCTACCGGCAGCCACCAGGATCCGCCGAGAGCCACCGCTCCTTCCTCTCCTTCTTCCTCCTCTCCCCTTCCTTATCCTCCTCCGTCTCCCCGAGTGCTGTGCGGCCGCCGCCTCTTCCCTCAGTGTTACCTCCTGTGAGGGCCTGCCCCCCGAGCCGCCCCGCCCCCGCCGCTGGGCGGGGAAGCCGCCCATTGGCGGCATTTATCTTCTCTTTCAGGAGCCCCAGTACGATTGGTCAAAGAGTGTAATTGGCAGTTAGAATCACCAATGGAGTTCCCGCAGCGCTAAAAAAAAAAAAGACAAGGGAAGGGGAGTGGAAGAAACAGGCGTGAGGCGAAGGGAGGCGGGTCGAGGTCGCAGCGCTCATTGGTTGGATTGGCTGTCAGTCACAGCCCGCGCACCCGCCGCGGGAGGTTGGTCGCGGCTCATCGAAGGTTTGAGTGAGCTACAGCGGCGCAGCCGCAGTGCCCCGTGCCGGCTCCGTATCCTTCCGCGGCGAGCGCGGTGCAAGCCGAGAAAAAGTGCGTGGATTCCCAGCGGGAGTTGTCGCTGGGCTCCAGCTGGGGTGTGCACGGGTGGGCAGTGGCAGCTGGCTTCAGCCGGCAACAGTGTGACCACGACAGCGACCGCCCCCTTGTGCTGTCACTGCTGGGACACCTGCAGTGCTGGGGACAGCTCTGGGCCCCTCAGGACAAGAGAGACACCGAGGAGCTGGAGCGTGTCCAGGGCAGGGAACGGAGCTGGGGAAGGGGCTGGAGCCCCAGGAGAGGCTGAGGGAGCTGGAAAGGGGCTCAGCCTGGAGAAAAGGAGGCTCAGGGGGGACCTTGTGGCTCTGCACAACTCCCTGACAGGAGGGGACAGCCGGGGGGGATTTGGGATCTTATCCCAGGGAACAGGGACAGGAGGAGAGAGAACGGCCTCAGGCTGGGACAGGGGAAGGTTTAGATTGGATATTAGGGAGAATTTCTTTACTGAAAGAGCTGTCCAGCCCTGGCACAGCTGCATAGGGCAGTGGTGGAGTTCCCATCCTTGGAGGGATTTCAAAGCCGTGTGGATGTGACACTTGGGGAGAGGAGTCAGTGGTGGCCTGGGCAGTGCTGGTGTCACAGTTGGACTCCCGGGTCTTGAATGGCTTTTCCAGCCTAAACGATTTTGCAGTTCCAAATAAATTCAGGCTGCTCAAAGCTCCTGTAATGTCACCGCAGTTCCAGGCCAGGGGTCCCGAGGTGTGACACGGACACAAAGCAGCCCCGGAACCTCCCCAGCCTCCCTCTGCTGCCCGCACCCCAATCTCAATAATTCCTAACCCACCAGTTTCCCTCCATATGTTGGGGGGTTTTTAGCTACTGCCTTCAATAGTCTCTGCAAAGCTTTAACCACTAATGTTGAGGTAATGGTGGAAGGTAACACAAGGGAATCAGAGCCTGTTGCCTGGCAGTGCATGCTTGGGCACCCGTCAGTCTGAAACCTGTGGCTGTTCTGTCTGCAGAGACCCTTGCAGTGATGCCCAGCAGGTTCTCAGGAGCTGTTCAGCCTGGAAAAGAGAAGTTTGTGTGGAGAACTCACAGCACCTTCCAGTATCCAAAAGGGCCAAAGCCAGAGAGGGACTCTGTCAGGAATTGCATTGACAGGACAAGGGGGAATGGGTAGAAATGGAAAGAGGGGATCTTTAGGTTAGATATTAGAAAGAAATTCTTTGCTGTGAGGGTGGTGAGACACTGGGACATGTTGCCAGAGGAGGTCATGAATGCACCAATCCTGGAAGTGCTCAAAGACTGGTTGGATGGGGCTTGGGGCAACCTGATCTAGAGGAAGGTGTCCCTGCCCATGGCAGTGGGGGTGAGGACTAGATGAACTCTAAGGTCACTTCCAACCCCTTAACATTCTGTGATTCTAAGAGTGGGAATCCGCAAGGTGGGTGTTGAATGGGTTTTTTTGTGGTGAGAAGGTCAGTTCTGGATTTGCTGTAAGTTTGTTGGAGATCCTCTGGTTTTTTTCCTTTTGCCTTTTTGATACTTCAGTATATATCACATATCTCCACTTCAAGCCACTTCCTTTACACCTGAGGTCCCATCTCCCTAACATAGCAGTTGTCTCTCCAGAGTCATGCTCATCTTCTAGACTGAAAGGATTTCTGCATTCAGTGATGTAGGTGTTATGATTCAGTGTCTTGGGCACAGGTCCCATCTCAACAGGACTGGTATTCCCAGGAGCAAGGTTAGACACCTCACAATGTTTAGCCCTTCTACAGAATGTGGACTCATAGAAATCCCCCCCTTGACTCTTTTGGGCCTGGATTTTCCCAGCTTGAAGCAGACATGTGGCTTAATTTTTTGGTAACATTTTCACCCAGTTCCAAAGAGATTCAAGCTGGTCATGAAATTAACAGCAAAGTGAAATGGAGAAGATCCTCTCTGCAGACAAAGCAGAGCATCTGAGAGATTGCCATCATGTTTTTGAAAGATAAGGTGTTCCAGTCATGTTGTGCCTGGAAACATATACAGACTATTCAGCCAGCACAGCATTTGCTTTCTGGAGGTTTCAGTGCATTCAGAGAGAATTTTTTTTTTCTATGAAGAGTAGGTTAATTAAGTTCAGTTTTCATATGGATTTGCGTCAGACATTCCCTTCACCTCTCCTCTGCAACAGATTCATGGCTCCCTCTCCTCCTATCTCCAAGGCTGATTCCTGATGCATCCAAATTCCCTTCTATGTCCCCAACCCACTTTTGCTGGCCTTCTGTCTGGAGCAGCACATGCTGTGCTTGGTTCAGGGATGTGTGTGCTCTAGCTGGCCAGCTGCCTGCCCCTTATCTACTGCCAAGAAAGCCAAGCAGTGCTGATAAGGGCTGAGCTCTCCCTGCCTTTCTCCCCAGCAGAGCACTTAACGTGTCTTCTCTAATGCAGCCCCTGTTTGCCATGAAGCTCAACAGACTTCGTATTTCCAGAAGCTCTGCTTCTCTTTCAGGTGTGGTTGAAATCAGTCAAAAGCTTGGGCAGCTTCCACTGGGAGACCATAACACACAAAAATCCAACATTTGCACAAACTTTTCTAGGAAAATAAATTGCAAGTAGCAGGAGGAAGAAAGCAAATGGAAGAAGGCAGTATCAGGGCTGCAAATCCCAGATCCCAGAAGTTACCTGAGAAGCAGAGTGGCTGTGGAGAAGGCTGGCAGGCAGGATGTGCATCTGCTCTAGAAAAGAGCTCCCAGCCACACACCTGCACCTCCAGGAAGAGCACTGTTTTAGATTGGTTATTAGAAGGGGTTTTTTTATGAGGATGGTGAAGCACTGGCACAGGTTGGCCACAGAGCTGGTGGATGCCACATCCCTGGAAACATTCAAGATCAGGTTCGACAGGGCTTTTAGACACCTGATCTCATTGAAGATATCCCTGCCTTTGGCAGGCGAGTTAGGCTGGATGACCTTTAAAGGTCTCATCCAAATCCAAATCCAAACTACTTTATAATTCTGTGAAATAATACTTGATTTAGCAAAACAAATTGCAAAACTCAAGCCCACAGCTGGATATTGCTATGTCCTTTTAATTAATCACAGAATACTAGAGTGGTTTGGGTGGAAGGTTGGAAGTTCATCTCATTCCACTCCCCTGCCATGGGCAGGGACACCTTCCACTGTCCCAGGCTGCTCCAAGCCCTGTCCAGACTGGCCTTGGGCACTGCCAGGGATCCAGGGGCAGCAACAGCTGCTCTGGACAACCTGTACCAGAGCCTCAACACCCTCAAGGGGAAGGATTTCTTCCTAAAATCTAATCTAAATCTTTCATTTTTGTAGTTTAAAACCATTTCCCCTTGTCCTTTCCTTCTGCTGTGTAAAAAGTTGCTCTCCATCTTTTTTTTATTAAGATCCCCTTGGTTCTGAAAGCCTTCAGTGATCTCTCCCTGGAGCCTTCTCTTGTGCAGGTGAGCAGCCCCAGCTGTGCCAGGCTGGCTCCAGTGCAGAGGGGGTCCAGCTCTGGAGCATGTCCGTGGCCTCCTCTGGACTCACTCCAGGTCCACCTGTTTCTCAAACCACGTAGCTCAGCATATTTTGGACATTAGCAGTTAGGTACAAATGGCAATCGGTCCCATTCAGATTTGAGGCTGCAGTGCGAGAACATGAGCATCTCCCTTAAGGTCTCTGAATGTGTGTGAGGGATTCAACATCCTCGCAAAGGATGTTCATGTGCAAAGACAGCAACAGCTCCACGGTATCTGTCATCTGTCTGCTAAAAAGAACAAAGGAGTTTGTGCAACTTGCTCTAGTGGAAGGTGTCCCTGCCTGTGGAACAAGATGATCTGCAAGGTCCCTTCGAACCCAAACCATTCTGTGGTTATATGAAATAACCTTGGACCTAAAAAAACATGATGAGGTAGTAGCCGGCTGAGCTATGCTACAGAGGATACATGTTGACTTCCCAAAGCCAATGACCAAAGGAAATGCAAAATCAAGATCAGGTAACTTCAAAGACACCTAGGATTTCTGAATGACCCAACACTAGCAGATATCCCTGTGTGCAGGTAGAGACAAGTGCAAAGTGCAATGCCAGGAAGACAGGTCTTGGAGGCAGAGCAGATGGGTTTTGTGTTGAAGTGATTATAACCAACATGTCAAAATGAAGTGTTAAACTGAAAAAATGGAAGCCCTTTGAGCAGAGTTGTGATAGAAAAAAATCAGCCAGCATGTTCAAGACAGGTATCTGTAGCTTCCTCATGAAGGGAGCTGAAGGTTCAGACACTGATCTCTTCTCTCTGGTGACTACTGACAGGACCCAGGGAATGGTTGGAGCTGTGCCAGGGAGGTTTAGGTGGGATATCAGGGAAAGGTTCTTCCCCCAGAGGGTGCTGGGCACTCTCCAGGGAATTCCCCAGGGAATGGGCACGGCCCCGAGTCTGCCAGAGCTCCAGGAGAGTTTGGACACTGCTCCCAGGGATGCACAGGGTGGCATTGTTGGGGTCTCTGTGCAGGGACAGAGGTTGGATTCATGGTCCTTGTGGTTCCCATCCAAGTCAGGGTATACTGCTTACTTCTATGTATAAAAACAATCACAAATCCATGGAAAGCCACTGTTAAATGTTCCTAGGTTTCTTAATTCATTCTGTTGAAGAACTATTCTGTATTTCATTATGTGCTTT